TGGAAGGGTATTTGCGTTAGCAGACTAGTGGGCTTATTATATGACCAGGGGTGCGTATAACCGGAATAACTGGAAGGATATTTCCATTAGCAGGCTAGTGGGCTTGTAACCAGGGAGCTTATAACTGGAAGGATATTTCCATTAGCAGACTAGTGGGCTTATAAACAGGGGGTGGAAGGGTATTTGCGTTAGCAGACTAGTGGGCTTGTAACCAGGGGAGCTTATAACTGGAAGGGTATTTGCGTTACCAGACTAGTGGGCTTTTAACCAGGGGAGCAGATAAAAAGAAAGAATCGGCAAATCTTCAAAAAGGAATTTCACTTAGTATTTATCTAAAGCAATAGACCCCCTACAGTATATTTCCAATAGAATTTAACCTTCAAGAGAAATAAACTCCATCATATTGTCTTTATAGTTAAGCTGCTGTGATATTGTAACGTCATGTTCTCTGTTCTAGGTGTTTTCGTTTATGCTGCGACTTAAGAGAGTAGCCTGGGTGCTAAGAGAAATTTGGTTTCACTTAAAACACATAGGTAGGTTTTTCATTTATATATTTATTTTTATATCTTCTAACTATGGTAACACTAATTCAGCACTCTTACTTTGCGTTTTTTTCAAAGGGTTTTCTCGTCGTGCTGCAGGATCACCACAACTTAGACAGTTACAGTTATTCAGGTAATTCTTTTTTGAAACTATTCTGTATATTAAGTTATTAAATTTTTTGAAGTATTAGCCATTCGAGGTCGGGGAAAAAACTGACGCCATCTTGAAAATATTTCCCTTAATACAGCCCCACAATGCACTGCAATGCCAACTGGACCCAGTTTTTTTCTCAACCTCGGTAAGGCTAATATTTCACACTTTTCCCTCTCTGTGTCTTTTTTTTTTTTCTTCTTCTTTTTTTCTCCTTAGGCATGAAATGCTTCATTTTCTGCAAAATATCGATGGATATCTGTCAAACCAGATACTTAACGTAACATGGGTTGAATTTCAACAAGAATTGGCTACAAACGTGAGTAGTAAAGGAACATAACACTTGTGTTTCATTCAAGCCTGGTTCACACCAATAACGCATGCGCAAGAAATGTTTACACTCGAAACGCAAATTCAAGAAAATTAAGTAGGCATGTGCCGGCAGTAGTGCTTCATAACAAAAAAGGTCTTCCATTTGCGTTTTTTCCTGTGAACCAGGTCTACAAAGCTTTTCGCTGTTGTATCACAGCGTTGGAAAATCACAACAGAGCTAGGCTCCAAACTAGGTGAAAGCACAAAGATCAAATTAGAATTTAGGTGTTGATTTTTGAGGAGGGAAAAAAACCGGAGAACCCGGAGAAAAACCCTCGAAGCACGGGAGAGAACCAACAAACAACTCTACTCAATACGACATCGAGATCGGCAGCGCACGCCACCGGTGCTTCCCCCCAGGTGTTACGAATAAACTGGAAATATGGATGACAGAGACATTTTTGGGTGTCCTTACTAAGGAACTATATTTGTATGAAGTGAAAAGAGTGGAAAGGAAAGAAAAGGAAAGAAAAGTAAGGAAAGAAAAGCTAAAAGAGTTTGTATTTCTTGTGCATGTTCCAGGTTCGTAATCTAGACGACCTTCATCGCCGACACACAGAATACCTCAACAAAGCAATCTTCAGGTCGCTACTCAGCAAGAAAGCCGCACCGGTCATGAAAATAATCAACGATATCTTCAGCCTCGTCCTCAAATTCCGCACACAGTTAATGTCGTGTCCATGGCAACAGGATAGCGCGGGGGGTCACGTGGTCCATCCTCGCTTTGACGTCATGTGTGCAACTCATAGAGCGTTCAAGGAGTATTCGGGATTCTTATTTACAGGTGAGCAAAATTAGAATGACTTTGAACAACTCACCGTATACCGACATTCCCATTTCCAAATATGTAATTAGTATAATTGCAAGACTGTGAAACGACACGGCATGGCACACAAGCTACGACATCTTTTCAGCCCAGCAATTACAGCAAAAGTGAGCTATAGATTAATACTCCTTTCACAAATGACCACGTGTGACCACGAATAGTGGTTCCAAGTCCAGGCTGGAGTTTCCGCGCATGATATAAAGTATAGTTTTGCTATGCGCGGAAACTCCAACCTCGGTTTGGAACTGTTATTCATGCTCACTGAACGGAACTGTAAAATGGAGTATTGGCTTGTTTGACCAAAATGCTCGAAAACACGTCACGATCTAGGTTGCAGCGCATTTTTATATCGGTTTTTCAGGATCATAAAATCTGCCCCATTGCACTACATTTATTTGTTTATTTATTTCGCCATATACAAATACATGTATAGTAGAGTTAGGATATTTAGTTAAATTCATCAATATTTGTATTTTTATAGTCGTGAGTAAGCTGGTTCGCCGTGGGTATCAGTCTCATTTACAAGACTTCCTTCTTCGACTCAACTTCAATGACTTTTACCAGATGGTATAACCAACAACAACCATGGTATCATTATATAAGTCAAAACGCTATTGTACCGAGATCCATGGCTGTCACCAAGGGGGTTGCATGGCTATATAATTCTTTATTCRAGGTTAACGTCAGTTTACTACATAGTTAATTATCCATTTTCTCTATTTAACTTTCGGCGTTCTAAGTCYCTTCTTCTTAGTTACTTACATCTTATCGCTGCAATTATTGTAATTATTGTCCTTTGTGCAGTCGTCGAACACCAAATTCCTAGCTGGCTCCTTGTAACTTGCCACGACAAGTTAATCTTTGTTAATCATTTCCYTTTTCCTTACTAACTCTTACTAACTGTTTCAAATTGAGCTGATCCTCTCAGTATGTGAAGCAACTTATGGGGCTGCAAATTGATTTGAACCCATGCCCTGGCGATACCGGCAACTTATGGAGCCAGGAATCGCCAGGGCACGGGTTCAAATCCCGTTCAAGACTCGAGTCCCGTTCGAGTCGTTCAATTTGCAACTCCATAAGTTGCTTCACATACTCCGAGGATCAGCTCAATTTGATACATTACAACCGCAGTAAAAATATATATTTCATATATATTCACATACACTTACTAACACTGTTGTTAATGCAGATCAGTATTTTAACAGTTTTCGCGAAATTTAGTCTCCTTTTATGTAATTTTCTTGTCAAATCGCGAAATTAAATTCCCGCGAGAATAAGTAACAATAAGGTACCTTYCAAAAGGGTTCCTCGTGAATACTCTCGAGGTTCAGAAGCGAAATCCGATGCATTAGTAATGAGAAAAACGTAAGTTAACTAGGTAATGATTCAGGTAGACGTCTGCTCCGAGAACTAAAAAAAATTCTCAAAGGTTTCCATTGAATGGCTCCTGTGCCTTGGTGGCGCCATGGCGAGTAGATTTGCAGACATGTAAAATTAATTGTAAAATAGCTCTTAATTTTCGACCCAAAGAAAAAGAAAAAAGAAAAAGAAAAAAAACACGGATGCTTTTGTTTGATAATATTTCTGAATAGACCTCTTCGGCTCTGGCGTAATGTTTTCCCATTTCAGACCAGACCACGATTCATTCCCTAGAGTATCATTTCTTTGTTTAACGCTTGCGCTCGGTTGCAAATGAGAAGGCACATGAAATTGATGCAACTCAAACAAAGAATCTTATCCTCAAGGGAATGAAACGTGGTCTGAAATGGGAAAACATCCGAGCCAAGGAGCTCTATTTGTTCTATCTACATTTTAGGAGATATTTATTCGAAATCCAAAAAAATCATAGGATTATACGCCAATTCTTAGGGCACTACGTTTAACTTTACTACAGATTCCTGCACAACTCAAAGTCTACTTACTCTCACTCAACTTGTAACACATCCTCGGGAACCCCAGGGCCGTAACCAGAACTTTTACAAGGAGGGTGCACGTCGAATAAAATCGGACCATTGATCGGTTTTTATTACCAACTCAGTGTTGAACCAGGGATCTTGCAGGGAGGTGCACATGCAATGATTTGCAGAAAACCAAAACTAAAAAAGGTAACCAAAAAAAAGGAGATGGATGAGCGGACCTTAAGCTTAAGCACCCTGTGCCCCCCCCCCCCACCCCTCCCCCCCCCCAACCCCCACCCTAGCAGAAAGGATATCCTTGAATTTCCAAGGGTACAAAAGTAGGATCTAAGAGCCAAATTTCCGACGAGCATCCCCGGTACTCCCCCCCCCCCCGCCCCCTGTGCCCCCCCCCCCCACCCCTCCCCCCGGGTTACGGCCCTGGAACCCAGGGGTAATATTTTGTCGCTCGTTTCTCGCTCCGAGAAAAAATATAACAGTAAAAAAAATGTTATATTCCGATGGGAAGTAATTTTTTTTTTTTTTGAACTTTTACCGGAGTCTGTGACATCATCTATACTCGGAAGAAATCTAAATCTAAATTCCGAAGAAAACATGTATTAAAAGGGTAGCTCGATAATTTACATCTATACCAATATTCTCAAAAGATAAGATCATTATTATAGAATATAATATACCACAATATTCTGGCGTTAGTAGGATATTAGCAACTATTTCAATTGAAGAGACTGGATCTCAATCAGTAATTCCCTAAGAAGCTTCCAGAAATTCAATCAATTCTTGCTAGGATCAAGGTAAGTTAAACATTTATTTWAAAAAAAATTGAACTATAGTTATATTTTATTATTACTTTGCTGCGTCGATAAAAAAACTTATTTTTGGCAGCTCTCTACACCCTCAAGGAAAACGAACGCAAAATATGACATGTTTTCTTTTTCTATTTTTGTTTCTATGCATCGTTTGTTTTTTATATTTTGAATTGACTGGTATGCGCGATCAAGTTAATTATTGATACAGTTCTAAGCCGACTCACTATGTGAATAGGGCTATCGCCGGCTCTAGGCAACTAATAGAATAGATTCTGATAACATACTGGTGGAAAAGGCGAACGTTTTCATTGGCTATGCTGTAATTTCTCTATCAGACAATGGTTTCTTCATGATAATAACCATAGAATATCCTAAACGTATTCTAAAAGCCTCTGAGCGATTGTATCTAGTCTTTTTTAGGGCTCATACAGATCAAGATGGTTTAAAGACGGAAGCAATTTTTCCTGTAAAGTGTAAGTACTTAAGCTTTTTTCTTTTATTTTGCACCAATAATTTGAATTAATATGAGCAAAGGTTCCAATTCTTTACTAACTTTATGTTACGCAAATCACCTGCAGTGGTGCAGAATTTCTCCAACTCCATTTCAAGATATATTCCCTTTATTCACCGAATGTCGAACGTTTTTTTTTTTTTTGTGAATAACTAAAATAGATAAGCATAGAATACCGATAAAAATTTTTTAGTTCAATCCTCCGTTTTAATTGCCCGACAATTTTTAAATCATACCGCTTAGAGTGCTCTAAGTTCCTAATCAATTTGAGGCTTTAATGGACCATTCTTGGTTATCTAACAAGAGTCAATCGTAGTCAAGAATGTTGATATTTTTTATTTTTATCGTAACGGGTCACTTTTTCGCTTTCTTCTTCGTTTACTGCTACTGAATGAACATAAATAGCTTATTTTCAAAAATAAATACTGGCAAAACGAGGACACTTGAGGCTTTCAGATAATCTCACTAGTATTTCGTGAAATAATGTTTAAATTTCGTATTAGTTTGTTTTTGTACGTTAATTTGATGGCAAGGCGCTAGAGTTTTTTTTAACAAGTCTCAGGTTTGAATTAACAGATCAGATTAGATTTCTTTAATCTTGGCGAAAAAGGCAACAGTTTCAATAGTTTCAAATTCTTTCTGAACTTTCTGAACTTTCAAGAAAGAAAGAAAGAAAAAAGGAAGAAAAAATGAGAGACTCCTTTATTTTCATACGGTAGTTGCATTCCATTCTCACTTCAAATGTAAAACTACAATAGGTATAATAGATTTATCGCTATGAGTATGGTAAAAAAGGCTTAACAACTAAAAACACTGCTACATCAAATTGTTAATTTTGCGTTGAGTCCTCATTAATGAAAGACTATTCCGAAGTTTAGCTCCACTGTTAAACGATGTGTGGAGCCATGGATGACGTCGTGGAGAAACGATCGTCTCTCTCCCCTGAGGTCCGGGGTTCGAATCCATGCGAGCTAATTTGTTTGGTTCTTTTTATCACGCCAAGGGTTTATTACAGACGGGTTTTCCTCCTTTCTCTCAAATCAACCCTTACTACTTCAAACTGGTCATAGCTGTGCTCTGGGGTCATACTTGGACTGTATAGTGGCTGGCAGAGGCACCTTCACATGCTTTCAGTTCGACACCGTTGAGCTGCGCAATGCTGTACTTGCGATGATGATTAGCGATAACAAGTGTATTTAAACAACTTACACTGTTTTATTAGAAGAGAGAGAGAGAGGAAAGAAAACGGCAAAATAAGTGAGTGAATAAGGAAATCTTTAAACTCGCGGCTTATAGTGAACAAACAATCGGTTATCTGTTGATGGGCCGTTACATCATAATACATCATAAATTCACATTTTCCCCCATCAGCTTCCATAATTTTCTTTTTAAAATTTTCTCTTTGTCAGATACGCAATTCAGCGAACTTTCTTTACAGCGCAACTACACCAACCAAGGCCACCCAGACAAGTTTTCATACAAATTCACCATTCATCTGTTATTTGTGAATTGGATTTAAAATTTGTTCGGTCGGCCTTGGAGTTAATATAGTCGAACTGTAAGATACCAAAATCTAATTATTTTTATCTATTTTTGATCAAAAGAAATTACTCTAAAAACAACAGACACGGGAAGGCTTTATTAAGTAACTCCTATGACAAGTTTGACCATTCACTGACAAATAATGAAAATTAAAAATTAAGTTTCAGTGGACAAGACTTCCTTATCAACTCAAAAAAATATATATTCTACTGGGTTGCCGTTGCTATAGACCTGCCAAGGGCATTTGATATTTTTCTCTTATTCTCTCCGTTTCATTATACACGCCGAACGCATAATTTATCACTGTTGCTATAGACCAGCACACTGGGAAACCCATTCATGAATTAAATGGGAAATTATCTGACTATTGTTTTAATAATTTTCACAAATTGTGAACCGTTTGACATAAAGATGTTGTTTTCAGTGATTGTGTTTCTCGATACTTCGATTACAGGCACTTTTACGTACGGGGGCTTTATCTTTGCATACTCCGTCTTGTCTTGAATGATTTTCATATTGGATAATATTGAGCTCACTGCATTGATCGGATTTTTGAAAGATTACAGTGGCTTCTAATTCACTGTTACTATTAACCTAAAATGCTATTGAAACTTTGTTTATCAATCCAGATGAAACTTAATGACACTTGTCTTCATACAATGACAAAACGGCCATGAAAGTTTAAATAGATGTTATTACACTGCTAGTTGTATTACAGCCGGATAATTGCGCGAGAGAAAAATATACCTCATGGTATTTGAAACAACAAGAAAAGCGCTAAAACTACAATATAAGGAACTCAAAAACAAAAACTGTGGTTTCCTATAAGAAAATATCAGTAACAAAGAGAAAAAAGTCTTTAAAACTTTCAGTGTTTCAAATTACAAGGTACCGATAATATCGTGCTTCGTAGGCGGGAGCAACTAATATGTTACCATGAGAAACACGCCTGCAAATGCGGCCAATAGCGACAAACATGAACTAAAAATAATCGAAAATGCTTGACAATTGATTTGCCGTTCGTTCTCGATGACRCACAATATTTAGAGAGAAAAAAACGAAAGAAAAAAGAAAAACACCTTTATTGGACATTTTAATTGTTCTTAATTAGTCTTTTTTCTTTCTTTTTCTTTTGAAAACAGTTGGCCAAAAGAGACAGATAATTTATTTGGCTTCAACATTCAACATTATGCAATTCTTAGTGATTGTACGACGTTCTCATACAATTCATAATTAATAAGTACTCGCAGTAATGTTTCGAAAGTTGTTGTAATCACAAATTGTATGAGTGCATGGTGCGATTTCCTTTAAGTAAATTGAAGGGGGAGAAATTCTGTTAGAGGGAACTTTTTAAGACAAAATGTATACTTCAATTTTTTTTAAATGTTCGTTGTGATATATGCAGGGGTGGATCTAAAAATTTCTAAGTATCATCCTCATCAAGCCACCCCTCTTTTTCTCGCATTCCTAGTAGTAAAAACTTTGTAAATAACTTTGTACTTTGTACTTTTTTAAAAACTTTGTACATAACTTATTTGGAACTAAGTTGATGTGCAACTATGTGCAAAACGCCAAATAAATATGTCTGTCTATGGCTTACCGAGCTTTTAACAATAATAAAAAGAAAAAGCTTATGGAGTTACCTTCATATTAAGGTCATAAGGTTTTCCTTGTTATTATTGTAAGCTTGTGTGAAAGTAGAAAAAACTTTCCAGTCTCCTTAACAGGACTGTTTACTAAGTAAGACTTAATTTCTTGCAGGTTTTTTGCTGGTAATAGGTGCCTCTTGATACAATGCACCAGTTTTCAATCTTTTTATTGCTAATTGCTGGTCAGGCAGGGCTGTGCCTCTCAAGCAGTGCTAACTGGAACTGCTCTGAGTATTATAACAACAGGACAGGTAACTTCGGTTTTACAATTTTTTTATGGGAACCATCATGGCGTTTACCATAAATATAACCTTTGAGTGTCCCTTTTTTGTAGTGACAACCTCTCGACTATCTTATTGCTACACATTAATCAGTGGAGCAACCACCATTTCCCTTGAAGGTCAAGATCCGCTCTTAATGAACCCTCTATCTTCGAGAACGACTTCTGAGAAAGTACTATTCTGTGCCAAGGCGGCACAAGGAAGAGGGTTTCGGTCCTTTTCCTTAAAAGATGGTGGGAACTGTAAAGTGGGCGGCACTTATAGCTATTTTAGTTGTAGTTATAACACATTTTCTGGCAGCTGCAGCAATCCAACCTATCCTTGTATAAGATATTTAACAACATCGTGCCAATGTGGCACCAGCAGTGGATTAGGAAAGTCGAACTACTACAACCGTTATCATGTCTCCACCAGTTACGGTAATAATAATAATAATAATAATGATAATAATAATAATAGTAATAGTAATAATAATAGTAATGAAATTAATAAT